ATTGTCGTGACGTACTCCAGTCAGATACATTGTTCACTAGAACGAGACCTTCATTCTGACCTTCATTCTTTCTACCCCCATACTAACCAAGCAAGCCATGGTGTCCTCTCCCGCAGACTGCCAGAAATCCATCCGTTCTACGCACACAAACAATGCCTCGCTCATAGTCATTGTTTCCGGCAAGTATATATCCAGCTCGCTGCGTCCTGGCAGAATTTTTCCCCCTTTACCCAACTCGACAGGCTTGAAGGTAACAGTCCAGTCGACCAGCCAGTCATAACTGACCAAGTCTGCTTCGTTTCGGCTTTTGCTTTCTTCCTTCTTTGCGAGTTTTTCACATTAAAGGTAAGCTTTCTATTTCATTTTTCTTCCACTCAGCCTCTGCCAAGTCCGCTGCGTCTTGAGAGTGTCTTCTTTCCAGAGTCACCAGTCTCAAAGGCAAGCTTCCTATTTCCTTCTTTCTTTCTACCAACTACTGTCACTTTTATAACCAGCTCGATAGGAAACGTCCTCTTCCTCACCTGGCCATACGCGTTCTTGTCTGACACGTACATACAGTCCGCAGCAGACAGCCAGGATGAACACACAGCAGGGCACATGGACACAGCAGCCGGGCTCTTGGCCACAGCCGGGCCCTTGGGCACAACAGGTCCCCTATCCACAGCCGGGCTCTTGGACACAGCAGAGCTGGTCACCGCCGGGCTGCATTTGGCAACAGGTGCCTGTAAAATGCCTCGCCCACGGTCAATCAATGTGTCTTCCCTGCCAACAGTGGGTTCTTCGTCCCAGCCGGCCACCTCCCGTCCCGCAAATCATCACGGAGGGTCTCCTCCACGCAGTAAACCAGAGGCCAACATGTCGGCACTACACCAATTACTGCTGCGAGAGGCCGGATAACTGTGACTTCCCCCACAGACACATTCGGCGCTCGCCAGCACCTTCTGAGAAAGACATCTGCAGACACTGGTACAACAACGATGACGATATGAGCAGGTGTGGGTACGGCGTGGAAGAGTGTGACTTCCACCACCCTTACAGAAAGCCAAATGAACATCGTCTCCCCCTGGGCTCCTTTACGTGGAGGGGAACAACATACACCCCGACGATTGTGCCGCTAGGCTTCTCACCCCCGGTCAGCTATACCCAGGCCAGCTATACCCAGGCCAGCTCTCCTCAGGTCACTTCTACCCAGGCCACCTCTCCCCAGCCCGCGGCCTCCAGCACCGTCTCTCAACCCGAGCGCTGGAGCCAACAATGCCCGCTCCTGGACAAATGCCCGGGCTTCGGGAAGAGCTGTCCCCATAGGCACAGCGTCATTGCCTACGGCACCCGCCAGCCAAAGGCCGCCGATGACCGCGCTGTTGGCGATAGCAGCCAGGCAGCCCAGGATGACGCCAGCGACAGTGAAGCTGCTCAATCCGCTGAAGAAGACCAAGACGACAGTGACGACGACAGCCAATACGAAAGACCACCAAGTCGTGGTTGCTGGTCAGACGTCAGTGAAGAGGAAAGACCAAGTCTTCGGCGTACACGGTCAATGGAGTAGTTGCTCCCGCCGGCGGAAAAGATGACGAGATCGCTGACCAGGGGAGAAAGAGGGTTACTGGGACGGGACACACGTTACGATATGGATTTCTTCGAGCCCGGATTTAAGACACAGGAGCAGGCGGTCGTTTCGAGGGCATCTGCAGTTACTAGACTGCAGCACCGGTTTTCTTTGGGCACTGTTTTGGGCTATTAGTTTAGGATACCCGGCAGCCATACTGGCCATGCCTCCTTTTACTTGTATTTGTCGATTTACGCGGTGTTCGATGGCACATCATGGAGATAGCACCATCACGGCATTACTTGGCCGGAAATAAAATGAATTCATCAACTCCTCTTCTGTGTAAGCCCCGTGCCATGAACCAAGCACAATCATCGAGATGCCATGAAACAAGTGGCGTGAACCAACACCGTCGAGCAAGTGCCACCAGGCACCGCACAACCTCCTCCACGCCTGCAGCCCTACAGAACGCCACCTCCGCAGCAGAGTTTTCGCATCGGATACGAGAAATCGCGCAGACGGATGTTCACGGGTCGGGCAGGGAAGTGCTACGGGAAATCCAGGAGGTCTTTAAATGAATAATACATCACTAAGAAGCAGATGCCTAACAAAGAAGACTTGTTGATGATCTAAAAAGATGCTTGTGTCGATTCCCGATGCCAACGCTCTACACCCGACTCCGTGCGAAAGGAATGCTCGCGGCATCCACTGGGTAATCTGTATTTTACAACGGTACTCGCTTCATCCTCGCAGCTTCATCCTCACAGCGCCACCAACGGCTGCTGCTGCTGTTGTTCCTCCTGTCGCTGCTCACCATGATTTTGTTGTGCTTCGCTGGTTCCGTTCTCTGTTTCATTCCGTGTCTCAGCCGTCTCCTCATTTTGGGCTTCCGTGTTCTCGGCGTTTGCTGCTGCCTCCGCGGCGGCTGCTGCGGCTGCCTCTGCCTCCTCCCTCCGCTGACGCTCGGCGCGAGCCTCAGCTTCAAGGTGGGCAATGTGGCGTTCTGCAACGCCTGGAGCGATGCTGGCAAGGAAGAGCAGGCCCGCTCTTTCGAGCCGACGCACCTGATCCATAAGCCAGTTGCCGTTGTCGTGTCTGCGCTGGTCCACCAGTCTGGCGGCTGCGCGTGCTGGGTCGGGGCGGCCGTCTGCGCCAATGACGGCGTCTCTGGCTCGCACTGGCTCGTTGGGCTGATTCGGCGCAGCCAGGGGGATCAGATTCTCCATATGACGTCTGACCGGGCCCACGGCCTGGTCGAAGAAGCCGTTGAGCAGCCCCGTGTTCAGGACAAAGATGCTAAAGGCGATGAAGACGACCGTGAACCATCTCGACCAGCTGGCGTTGGGCGACGTAAACCACCACACAAAGAGACCGAGTCTAACGATGAGCCAAAAGTGCGGCCACACCTGCGCAATCAGCGGGGCGATGCCAGGGTTGTTGGGATGCGCCGGCACGGCGGCAATGGGAGGCTGTCCCTGGGGATGAACCTCCGGCTGCGGCGGCGCCTGGACGGGCTCGGCAGGTTGAGCAGGCTGGTGCTCGTCCTGCTGCGCTTGAGGCGTGGCGAAGGTCGGCCACGCAACGTGTTGGGGCCGGCCTCTCATTCTGGCGAGGGCCGACGCCGTCTGATGGAAGGTTGAAATCGGCTGGTACGGCATTCTAGTTGTAGGGGTATAGTATGTCTCTAAATTGTTGTTGATAAGAACGGCACGCGGGCCCTGGGGAGAATTCAAAATGTAGACCTCGGGGCCGCTTGGTGCTTGGCGCTGCACAGAATGTCCGCTGCCGCCGCTGACGGACCGCGCGGTAGGGTCGGGCGTGGCCCGTCTGCTGCTTGCCCTGGAGCCCGGGGGACAGAAGGGGGTGGTGACGCCGACGGAGCCGTTGGCGAGGGACGTTCCTGAAGCGCTCCTTTGCATGGCGTTGGTCATGGCAAGCGTCGCCTGGCCGGCGTCGGCGCCTCGCAAGATGTTCTGGACCTCTGACGCTGACAGCGGCGTCGTGCCGGGCTGCCCGTGAACGTTGAGCGTGCCGCCAAGAAGCGTCTCGTTGACAGTCACGCGGTACGGCTGGCCGTTCGGCATGACGCCCTCCCTGACGTAGGTGTGCGTGTCTGGGTTCGCCGGGCTGACCCGGCCGCGCGTAGGGTCGGCAGGGTTCGCCGGCGCGTTGGGGTCACCGATGCCGTGCAGACCGAGAGACGCCCGGAGGGACTGGTTGTGGTTGATTTGCTGGTTCATCTGCTGGTTGGCCATGGCTCTGTTCATGGCCTCTCGCTGCAGCCCGTTCATCCACGCCGCCATGCTCTGGTGCTGCTGCGCCTGCATCTGCTGGATCTGCTGCAGCGACAGGTTCGAGGGTATCTGTGAGGGTGTCGGGAAAGGCAGCGGGTTCGACGTCGGGGGCATTGGGGTGCGCCTGGTGAAGGCTGCCGCCGTTGGCTGACTGCCATGCGGGTGCGCGTGGCCGGGGTTCACGGGGACGTGGAATTGGGCGATCGGCGGCGCCGGGCTTGAGCCGCGAGCCAGGGCCGGTGTAGGTGTCGTCGAGCGGTGCGTCTCCGCGACGTCTCGGAGAACCAGGTGGATGGTCTGCTGGTCGGTGTTGCGAATCTACTCGGTCAGCATCGCGCACAGCGTCAGCAGGGGCGGGCCAGCTTACGACTTCCTCGCCGATGACGTTCAACAGAGTGTCGCCGTCCTGCGACAGGGGCCGTCCCCGATAGATCAATCGCTGCTGGGCGTCGGTCGGCTTCAGAGGCAGGGCCTGGCGGATCTTCTCCTTGACCTGGCGGACGGTCGTCGAGGCCGGGAGGCTTGGGAACACCAGGGGCCGGCCGGAGCTCGCGGCGGTCGACGGTGACAGGACCTGCAGGTTTACGGACAGGTGGTCGGAAGCGGCCTCTGGCGCAGGCTGCGCGGTCGAAGACGAGGCTTCAGACGCCATGTTGACGTCCTATCGGTCATGCCACGCAAAGCGCAGCGCGGCAGCTCGGTCGAAGCGCTGTGATTGTCGGCGGGAGAGGTCCGGTGTGGTTGCGCGCGAGGACACGATTCTCATGTCACCGTGCCGTTGGTACTGGAAATTTAGGACATGTGTTGCCCTCCGACTGCAGACGGCAGGAGGTAGCTCAGGTACAGGACCCGCTGGCCTCACTAGGACGGGGTACGTACCCGGTCCCTGGGCGCCGGAAAGCCCGATCCATGCGTGCCTGCCCCAATCGGGGAACGGTGACAGTTGGATTATGTAACGCGGATGAGATGCATCTCACCATGAGGCCCAATCGTTTGCATGTCACTCACGTCGGGGTGTTTGTTGTGAAGCATAAGTCCATTTGATGAAGCTATTCTAAGTGTACTGTGATCCTTGGTTTCATCCTCATTTTTGCTTGACCCTGAATTCATCTTTCTGTCTGCCCCGTCTCATCAACGGCCTCATTTCGAACCCACATGATTCATGACAACTTCCCTCCCTCGCTCGCGTGCTCCCACTCTTTGAGGAGCCAACGCACGCCGTAGCAGTGCTTGACGTGCTCAGCAAAGTCCGTCTTCGCGTATGGCCTGGAGGCTGCGGCTTCCAGGACAATGTGAAAGTACTGGTTCCCTCGCAGCTCCGGTGGTATCAGGTGCTCCGGCACCGGCGGCATCGTGTTGAAACATGCGTTGCTCAGCTCCACGCATCCTTTGCAAAAGTGCCCATGGTCAGCGCCAGAGCCGGAGACGAAGGGCATCAGAATAGCCGCCATGCCCTCGAAAGCGTCCTCGACTCTGTAGGAAAACGTCGGCATCGAATGCTGCAGCTTGTGTGGCAGCCTGCCAAGCAGATTCAGGTCGCAGCCGGGCGGTCCCAGCCTGAGGTGATACACGTCCCAGATGAAGTCATCCTCGTCGGTATCCATCGTGAGCATCGGCATCAGCTCAGCCAGCTTCTCCTCTGAGGAGTCGTGGATCCGAAGCGCCAGTTGCTTGAGATGCTTCACGCTGACCAGCCGGAGTGGTTTTGACCAGGTTTTTGACGTCCAGTATCCATAGTCTCCCGGGAGAGTATGCATGACGGGAATTTCGCTCAATTGCTCATCAGTGAGAGAGAAGCACCTCCGCGCCAGGCTTTCCGTCGTCATCAGGAACGAGCGATTCAGCATCAGGCACGACTCGCAGACCCTCTCGCAGGTAGGCAGATACAGAAAATCGCCAAACTGGAAGCATGAGGCGCATCTTTTCGACCTCAGAACACATCGCAGGGACGATGCCGGGTGATGACGGATGAGATTGGTCTTTGCGAGACCGACCAAGACGTCCGGCGCGTGCTGCATCATCTCTGCAAATGCCGGCAGGCCTTCGACGGTGTCCTTGGCTTTCCTCGAGGTGCGGAGCAGACGTGAGAGTGATCGGAAGTCGAGTTGCTCCATGAAGAGAAGCAAGAGCTCTGTGGGGAAGCAGTCAAGCGTTCCGAGGCTTGAGTGACGGGACCCCAAGGGTAATGTCGACGGTCTCGCGGTTGTGTCTCGCTGATCGAATTGGATGCAGTGGATTTTCTTGATGTTCTCATGGTGATCGAGCTGTCTGATGGTCTGCTCCGAGAGCGCCAGGGAAAGAGCCTCGCAAGCCATTGTAAGAGCGGGTGAAGTGTGAAGGTTGATTGGTGAGTGCGAATGCGGATGTTGAGAGGTCCTTAAGTTGTCAGTTGGTTTACACACCAATGAATTTATCGAAAAGGTACCCCAGATCTGATCAATCAAGTCTTCGCTCTCATCCGAACGGGATCTTAGACAGCTTTACGATGCGAGTGGCAGCAAAAGGGGCAGAAGAAATTTGTGCCATCTAGATAGATTGATGGCGCAGCACGAACGCTCAGAAAGGAGCCAGACCAGGAAGACGCAGGAAGAGGGACCCTTGCACGCAGCTAAGTGATGGACTTTTCAGCTGGCAACAAGACAGCCTCACAAATGCCATTGCCAAGTGAAATTCGCTAGTTTTCTTGATATTTCTTTTTCTCGAGTCCCTTGACAAATAATTCTTCATGTTTTACACTGTCTTACGAGCTGAGGTCTTGGGGACTCGTAGCCACGTTCATGCTCAAGTCATAGGTTCGTGAACATTTACCCGTGGGAAAGGACGAAAACTCAATTGAATCCATTAATTAACACACAATCTTCAATTGAGCCATTTCGCACTACAATTTTTTTTTATTTTTTATTTTTTATTTTTTTACCACAGGGATATGTCGAATAATTTCATGATGTTGAAGTTCATTTTATGCACACTTCCAAAAACAGACTAGCGCCTTCACATGGTTCGCGCTGCGTCATGCCACAGCTAAAGCTTTACCGGCAAGATCTCAGCAGAAGCCTCGCCGCCCGCCCCAGCGATTTATCGTCCCGCAAACCCGGCAGAGGCTCGCGGTTCGAACCCCCTCGACCTGGTTGAGGCTTCCCAACACACGATGGCCACGCTGTACGCGCGACCGAGCCAGCTGCGGGCCAACCTCCTCTACGGGCCCTTCTCCTCGACCCGTTTCTTCTCCCAACACCACCACCGCCCGCGCTTCTCCGACCGCCTGCGGTTCGCCCTCAAAAACTCCAAAGTGCAGTGGTACCAGATCCCCGTGGGGGTCGGCATCGGCTTCCTGGGTCTCGTCCAGTTCTACAAGGTTTCGTCGCGCGACCGAGAGAGCCAGGAGAGGAGCGAGGTCCAGGATGCGCCACCCAAGAAGCGCGCAAAGATCAGGCCAGACGGCCCATGGCAGGTCCAGGTCATGTCGACGCTGCCCCTCAAGGCCATCTCGAGGCTCTGGGGCCGCTTCAACGAGCTGACGATCCCCTACTACCTCCGCGTCCCCGGTTTCAAGCTCTACTCTTGGGTTTTCGGTGTCAAGTGAGTCGAGATTGCCGCCGTGAGAGGACGCTGCTAACCCTTCGACAGCCTGAACGAAGTCGCCGAGCCCGACCTCCACGTGTACCCGAACCTCGCCTCCTTCTTCTACCGCACCCTGAAGCCCGGCGCCCGTCCCCTCGACCCGAACCCCCACGCCCTGCTCTCCCCGTCCGACGGCAAGGTCCTGCAGTTTGGCCAGATTCAGGGCGGCGACATTGAGCAGGTCAAGGGCATGACGTACAGCGTCGACGCGCTCCTCGGAAAGAACACCCCCAGCTCCAGCGTTGCCAGCGGATGGACCACGCCCCAGGAGGCCGAGCAGAACGTGTCGGAGGAGGAGGACCTGGTCAAGACGGACGAGGAGTTTGCCCGAGTGAACGGCATCTCCTACACCGTGCCCAGCCTGCTGTCCGGCGCCGCAATGTCCCAGCGGGTCGGCTCCCTCAAGGACGAGGCCGCCGAGCCCCCCTCGCCGTCTGCCGTCTCCGAGGTCCGCGCCGACCTCGCCCTCGGCGAGAAGCCTTGGTACCAGCTGCTGTCCCCCGAGAACAAGACCTCCCTCTACTACGCCGTCATCTACCTCGCCCCCGGGGACTACCACCGCTTCCACTCCCCGACGAACTGGGTCGTCGAGCGCCGCCGCCACTTCGCCGGCGAGCTCTACAGCGTCTCCCCCTACCTCCAGCGCACCCTGCCCGGCCTCTTCACCCTCAACGAGCGCGTCGTCCTGCTCGGCCGCTGGCGCTACGGCTTCTTCAGCTACGTCCCCGTCGGCGCCACCAACGTCGGCTCCATCAAGGTCAACTTCGACCGCGAGCTGCGCACCAACAGCCTGACCACCGACACGGCCGCCGACCGCGCCGCCGAGGAGGCCGCCAAGCGCGGCGAGCCGTACCTCGGTTTCGCCGAGGCCACCTACGCGTCCGCGAGCAGGGTCCTCGGCGGTCACGCGCTGCGCAGAGGAGAGGAGATGGGCGGCTTCCAGCTCGGCAGCACGATTGTGCTGGTGTTTGAGGCGCCCACGGAGGGCAAGACGGCAGAGGGCAAGAACAGCGGCTGGAGATGGGCCGTCGAAAAGGGCCACACGGTCAAGATGGGCCAGGCGTTGGGATACATTGACGAAGAATAAATGTCCAAAAGGCGGATGTAAACATATATAACGACATGTCAAATGATACAACACAATTGATACAGATCTAAAGGAATGTGTGGCGTCGCGAAGGAATTGGATCCCGGGGGTTGTCAGATGCTTAATTCAGCCACACGGTTTCAATTGGTCGCGCAAAATCGCAGATGCAAGTGTAATCATCCAATGCGTAAATTCATTAATCGCGCTAATCTATAAACCAAGCGGCCGCTTGTGTAACTCCGCCGAATGCTGCTGTATCTTTTGCACCGTCTGTCTATGCACATCTAAGAGCTGAAGGTCTTGAAGATCTCCTCAATGGGCTTGAAGTCCTTGGGGCCGGCGTCGCCGGTCTTGCCGCCAAAGACGAGCTGGGCGTTGAGCTTCCAGCTGGCGGGGACCTTCCACTCGGCGGCGACCTGCTGGTCGACGAGGGGGTTGTAGTGCTGGAGGTTGGCGCCGAGGCCCTCGGCCTCGAGGGCGGTCCAGAGGACGAACTGGAGCATGGCGTCGGACTGGGTGGCCCAGCCGGGGAAGCGGTCGGCGTAGAGCTGGAACTTCTCCTGCATGCCGTTGACGACGTCCTGGTCCTCGAAGAAGAGGACGGAGCCGGCGGCGCCCTTGAACATGGCCATCTTGCCCGCGGTGCCCTCCCACTGGTCGGCGGGGACGATGGCCTTGAGCACGCCGGTGGCGATGTCCCAGAACTTCTCGTGCTCGGCGCCGTGGAGGACGACGACGCGGTTGGACTGGGAGTTGAAGGAGGAGGGCACGTTGGCGAGGGCCGTCTTGACGATCTCGTCGATGCGCTCCTTGGAGATGGGCAGGTCCTTGGACAGGGGGTAGTAGGTGCGGCGGGCCTTGACGGCGTCGAGGAAGGCGTTGGCGTTGCCGGACATTTTGAAGGTGGTTCGGGTGGTGGAAAAGGGTCTTGGGGTTGTGGTTGTGGTGGTGAAGAGTGGACGAGCGAGTCTGCGAGTTGCTTGGAATGCTGTTCGGCTGATGGAGATCATGGTTCTTTCCTATTCTTGAGAAGAGAGGAAGGCCTGCTTGGTTATATACTGCGACCTGAGCTGCTGCTGCCACCTGTTTTCCGGAGCGTCTCAGAAACCATTGGAAACCCCCCACATCGACAGCGCAGCAACCAGCATGAGAGCTCCAAGATGGCGGGGTTCTAACGCATTGGATCCTACCTAGGCAAACTTGGCTCCATTCTCCAGCCGGGCCTTCAGGCGTCCGGATCATCAGACGGGGAACCTTAGACGGAACTGGGACCCCCATCGCGGGACTGTCGCCCATGACTGGCGGCTTTGCATTGCGCTCGGGCGCGCGGTACCGGGAAGCGTGCCTGGGCCTGGAGGCTGGCCGCTGAGCAAATGGTGTGGTAATCAGGGATTCGATTACCAATGGCAGAGCAAGCACGCAAAGCACGCAAACCACAATCGATAACGTGCTCCTGCCCCGTCAGAGAGTGTCTCCTCTGGCGGCGGATCTTTTTTCGACTGCAGCAGCGGCGCTGAAGAAGACGATCCCTGTCGGTTCCTGCCGCTTGGCTTGCTTGGGCAAGGCGGCGATGACAAAGCGGGCAGACCGCGGCTGACATCATTCTTTTGGCGGGGTACCTGCTCGTTTCCTCAGAGGTAGCATCTGTATTCTTCAGCTCACCTTACTCGCCATCGGCCGAGTTTCGGTACAGAAACTCTACCGATTCATTCTTGAGTTCTCTGTTCAAACCCGGCTCAAAAGCAAAAGCGGATGGTTAAGCGACGAACAGAAAGAATGGCCCGGCTGGGTGACCGCGCGGGATCGCGAAACGACAGTGTAGTGCGCACCCACGAAAATTCTAGAAGGGTGCCCCGCGACCCCCAACACCCCTCGCTGGGCGGTGAGGGTACCACCACACCTTCAGTCATCCATCAATCAGCTTCCACGCCTCCAACCTCCCGCCAGATTCAAGCGCCAATACTGATGGCAGGCCCTACACTACCTTGGCCATGCGCAGCGGCTGCTGCACCACTGTTCTGGATGTCCCGCTGCAATAAGCACCCTAATGAACCCACCCACTGGGAGCTCGTTGCTTGGGCGACCTGACCCTCACGATCATCGAATGATGCCCGCGGCCGCCAGCCTTCGGGCGGTGTGAACTTGGGCCGCGAAGAATGCCTCCCGTGCTCTCTCCCGCGCGGCTCGGATACGTCAGAGCGACCCGACGACCGTGCCTGCATTCACACAAAGACGAGCCGCATGCTTACATATCTGCAGATGCAGCCGTCTGAAGGATATGTAATCGTACCGCGCGATTCAATCCTCAGCGCATCGCTCTTCTCGTCAAGCTCCCCTCCCCTCCGCGCGCGCGCAGTCTCCTTTGGGCAGGGAACGGTGGCGCTCGATGACTGGCAGCTGAATAAGCTCCCGCGCGGGACAATCCACCACACCTGAGCCCAGCGCCCACATCTCGATGGCGCCGGTCGTGCTGTGGCCACGGACCCACAACTGGCTTCTGTTGGCGGCCATAGCCGGAATCAGTGATCGGAGGGGGCGCGGGTTGGGTTCCGATTCGGAATTATAATCGTTTCCCGCCGGAATTACAATAACGGGACGACGAACTCGGTCCGAAGGCCGTCTGATGTCGAGGCCGGAGCACTCCAGCGGCCGGTCACCAAGGGGGCCTTGGACGGAGACATCCCGTTGGTCAACCACGTTTGAAGCCGGCGTCCGGAGTGTGGAATGCCAGCGTGCGCCCCCGGTCTTGGCGCCGGTCACGAGGCTTCACGATCCGGAACACGGCCTGTGGGACGACCAGACGGCCGGTCTTCCGGATGGGTGTGATTGGAGTGCGGCCTCGGTGTAGGAGTCGGCGCCGGCACACCTAGGCTAATCCCACCGGCCGGCAGTGCTCACCAATTTCGGTGATGATGCTGAGCCCGACCCAGCGTATGTCCGCGATGCGGAGTACTAGTGACAATTCACCGAAGGATGCCTCAGCCACGACGGTTGATGAAGCCGTTCCAAGTAAACTCCGAGGCCGGCTACTTATTCACGTGAATCACGCATGAGATGTACAACAGCGTCGCTTAAGAACCAGTCAATGATACTACATATGTACTCAGCGCTCAGCATTAACGCCTGATCCAACGAATGCTTGCCAGTGGCCCAGGGCCGTCTTAGATGCAACCCATAGCCAGTAACCCCGTGTAAAATTCCTGTCTCGCAACAGTACAAATCTTGCCGAACAAAAATCAACCCACCCGAAACGCCGTCTAGGTGCTTTTTCCCGCGTGGTATGTTAACCCCCCCATGCTCTCGTATTTTATTTTTCGTCGCCAGGCGCGGCTGGATGCTTTTAACATCTTACGTCCGATGACCGAAGCCGTTCCCCGAAAAAGCCGAGTTCGCGGCACAGCAGTGATCGACCGCATCAGCAGTCAGGCGCCCCATTCATAAACCGCTTGCCCCCCGAGTCACACTCTTCGGGACATGCGGGCACTGCGTCTGCATATAAAGGTTGCGGCCCCGCCCTACCACGTCTCGGCGATGTACTGGCCGGCCTCCTTCTTCAGCTCCCAGTACTTCTTGGCCTCCTCCCGCTCCAGGTTGCCCTTCTGCATGGCCACGTCGACGAGCGCATCCTCGACGCCCTCGCCCATGCCCCTGGAGCTGCCGCAGACAAAGACACGACCGTCGACGGCGTTGGCAATGTACCAGACGAGGTCCGCCTGGTTGCGCACCTCCTCCTGGACGTAGCGGCTCTCACCGCGACGGCTCTGCACGACACGCTTGACCTCGTCTTCGTGCACACCCCACTCGCCGCTGTAGATCTCGTCGACGAGCGAGTCTCGGATGCCCTGGAGCACCCAGACCTTGTTGGCGCAGTTGGCCGTCTTCAGACGACGCTGCACGAAGCCCCTGAAGGGCGCGATGCCGACACCGGCGCCAATGAGCAGCATGGGGCCGTCGGACACGAACTGCTTCGCGAGCGGGTTGGCCATGAGGCCCTTGAACATGGGAATGTACACCTCGGGCGTCTCGCCGGCGGCCTTGGCCTTGAGCCATCTCTGGGCCTGGCGCTCAAAGAAGCCGGAGCCGATACCGGTGCGGAGACCGCGACGCCAGTCAGCAGTCTCATGAACCGTGACGGCAATCTCGATCAGCCGGTGGACCTTGCCGTCGCGCGTCTTATAGGCGTCGTGCGGGTCGTTGGAGAGCGAGTAGAAGCGGGGCATCAGAGGGTTCAGGACCGACAACAGCAGGTCTAGGGGCGGGTGCGAGCTGGGGAATGCGTTCAAGAGCTGGGACAGGGAGACATGCGGGCCGGTGCGGAAATCGCAAAAGACGCCCTGGCCCTCGGCGGCGCAGAGGTAGGTCAGAAGCTTCTTCTCGTTGGGGTCTGCGGCGTACTCGGCCAGGATGCGGAGGAGCTGCTTGGTCGGGGGGTACGACTGGATGTCGGAGCACCAGGTAAGCAGGTCACGGCGGGTCGTGGCCATCTCGCGGGCCTGGTCGTCGCCCCAGACGGTCGGCCAGCGGCCCCGGGTCGTCTTCATGAGCACCGGCTTGTCGCGGATGAAACGGGGAATCATCAGGGCATCAAAGACGTCATCGACGCAGGCCTTGTCGTTGGGAGCCATCACACCGATGGCGCCGCCGACTCTGAAGTCCATGTCCTCCTCGCCGGGGTAACTTGTGATGTCGAGGTCGAAGTGGTAGGTGCGCTTCTCGGCGCCGGGCTTGGTCAGCTCGCGGGTCGAGTCGATGCGGGCGGCGTAGACATGGTAAGGCGGGTGCGGCTGCACGAACTTGGGCGGCTCCCTCGTTGTGTCGATGCCGTCGAGAGTAAAGTCCTTGAACTTGCTCTGCAGGGTGGCGAGGTCGTCCTTGGGGGCGTCAGCACCCAGAGAGATTGCCGAGTCTGTCGGCGAGGGCACGTTGACGGTGGACTTCGGTACTGGCTCGAAGAAGACGGTCTGCTCGGGCATCTCGGCAATGTTGGTAAGGGTCGTAGG